AGGAGTGAAGACTTACTGCACATATTTGTTGACTGAAACAAAACTATTTCCCCACCTCCTGAGGTATTTATGACTAATCTGGGATGAATAATGTTTGGAGCTCTTGCCTTTTGAGCTCTAGTGCTGTGCAACTGTTTAACACTTGCACAGCCAACAGACGAGTGGTAATCAGAAGTCATGAAGAGTAGGCCACAAATTTGGATCCATGGATCCGTTTGAAGAGGTACCAAAGAATACACAAAAAAGCTGGGATTTATGTTGTGATATTTATTAAGCAGGTGTAGCAGTTAGACTGGGGAGGGAGGGGTGTTTGTAAATAAATGCAAAAAGTTTAAACTCTGACCCATGACCACCCAGCCACTGGGTGTCACATTAGCTCTGGCTATGTGAGAAGCTTCAATAGTATAAAAGAGGCCACTCATATTTTAACTGTTTCATTAAAACCTTCTGGATAACTCTTCAGCAAAGATTTCCACTCTAAGACATTTGCCATTGATATCAACTGTACATATGTATTAATATTCAGTGTAACTAGGAGGATACAGAATTGTAATGAAGTCACAAAGTCTACTTGATGATCACAGATTTGTAACTCTCACAAATTATGTAAGATATGTTGACATTTTATCTTGTTAACAAGATGTATTTTTCTATGTTAGCTAAATGTATAATTTGTATAATTTTGTATATTAAATGTATGCATATTTTAAATTAAAAACATTATAATTTTATTATTTTAACTTTAAAATGGTGACAGAGCTTCTGAAATACAGTTTTATATACAACTGTATCCATGGGTAGCAACCCAGGAAGTCTCAGTTTTGAGGAAGGGGCCACCTGATCTTTTAACAGGGTAAGAAAATTGTTACACCTGAGCTCTTGCTCCTTTTGGTGGAGGAGCTGCCATTCAGCTTCTGCTGAGTTAGTGGAATTAATATGAGTTGGCAGAATACTATGGGCTGTATCACTGCTCACGAAGTGGGTAACCTGAGCCATCCCCAGCTCGTAGCTGTGTTTTGGATTCACAATTCCTATATGTCAGGAGACAGTTCAAATCACCAATCCATGGGATGGGGTTTTGTGGGGGGAGGAGGACACTGCTGGCAGAGATGCAGCAGTCCCACAGAGCACACAGGGAGACTGACTGTGACTTGGCAACTCCAGTCACTCCTCTGGAAGAAGGAGAACTCGTGTCTCTGACATGCATTCCCTTTGGATTGTTCATGCCTTTTTGGTCCAATGATTCTGTTGTAAAATGCACAATAACAAAAAATAAGTGCAAAATGTACATTGCACATTCTCTAATGCCCTGCACCAGGGAAGTCCCGTTCTAACTCATGATGTTCATGCTGTTGGAAGAAGAACTCAGCTACAAACGAAGCCAAGGTATGTGACACCCTTCTTGTTGGGCTTTTATCCAGTAGGTTTTGTAGTGTGAAGCAAGTATGTCTCTAGGTTTGCTGCTATCACTCCAGTCTATTTGGAATAAAGGTCATATAGGAAGATGGTGCGCTTTCAGTCAAGTTCAGTCCTCTTTTCATCAAGCAATGTCAAAACAGGATGAGATGCACTGTCTTCAAGAGAATATACCAAAGCAATATATTTCTCCAAAGCTGCATACTTGCTTTTAGTCAAACTCACAGGATGCCAGGGCATCAGGATGCATCTGAGGCTGCTTCTGTAGCACCTAAAACTGCAATTTGATCTCTTACTTAACAAAGGAACAGTATGCATCTGGTGACTGAGAATAGTTTTTAGTAAACTAAGGGCTATGGTATGAAGAAAACCCAAAACATTTAAAAGAAAAGACAGACTCTGGTATTATTTTATGTTTATTTCTAACTAGAAAGTTTAATGCTGTTTTCTAAAGCATTGATCTGACATGTTCTCTGAGTCTTGTGATCTCCTTATGTATCAGAATTAATATGAATCTCCTGACTTAATACTTAAAAATAGCGTTATTCTTTTTTTTTATTTTTTTAAACCCTTAGTGCTCTGGAAACCTGAACAGTGTTCTCTAACTAGACCCCAAGTATAAACAGAGTCCATCTTTCTTAGCTTTATGGATGATAAATAAAAATGCTCTTCATTTAGCAGATGTATGCACTATGCAACATATCAGACCTACTATGGGCCTTTCAGATGTTTTTATTCTGGAAATTCAAATTAATCTCTTGATTGCAAAGAAATAACTCATAAAATGAATATTTTTCCAGTACTTGCAAAGACAGGAAAGTCACACATCGCACTCCATGTCCCACCTGCATATATCACTAACTGACAGGGTTTGGTGTCCTGTGTAGGAAAAAACTGACTTTTTTTCCCCCCCAATATGATCAGTAAACCTCAGTGCTACCATCAGGAACAAAAAATCAGTATTTGTCCATACAAGAGAGGACTTTAAGGAATATTCTAAGCAATGCCCTACAAGCTATAGCTATTTTTTTTTTTCACATGCACCAGTGAAGCCTCTGTATGCTGTTAACGTGTTAATGTGGAAATAAGGTTTATCAAGTGAGCTGTAGAATCCTGGGTGATACATGCTCAGAAAAGGCAGTTGACTAAAATCAGTGTGCTGACAACCAATAATAAATGAATTTTTTACTATCTTACCAACTCCCCTCATGTGAACACCTATAGTGTTGATGCACACACAGCATTTAAGCAGGTCCCATTGGATTATAAATGCAGAAAAGAAAGATGTTTTCCTGGGATGTATTTTGGCATTGCTCATATATGTCACATCACTGCTTTTTCACATGGTTTGGGTCCATGGGTAGCAGGCAGTTGACTAAAATCAGTGTGCTGATAACCAATAATAAATGAAATTTTTGCTATCTTACCAACTCCCTTCATGTGAACACCTATAGTGTTGATGCACACACAGCATTTAAGCAGGTCCCATTGGATTATAAATGCAGAAAAGAAAGATGTTTTCCTTGGATGTATTTTGGCAGTGCTCAGATATGTCACATCACTGCTTTTTTCACATGGTTTGAGTCCATGGGTAGTTGTTAATGAGAAAGATGATTATCTGGACTAATTTCTGATGAAATCCCAGGGACCTCTCTCTTTAACCTCCCACTTTTTCCTGATTTCCAATTAGTAACTTGCAATTTTTCTCATGCTGGGACCAGGTATGCCTGTGGACCAAAGACAACAGTGCGGTGTGGTTGGGCTTGTATTCAAACATTACTCTGTATGTGAACAGTAAACAGGCCTTGTGATTGATCCACTGCTTCAAACTTGCTTAGTCACCGAATCAATCTCGGACCAGTTGTTACAATATATTATTTCAGAGCAACAGAAAATGTCCCTTATGTAACTACTGGTGCAGTCAAAGCCTGTGACAGTTGCAGAGATTGTCTGCAGGTGCAGGAGAGGAGTGTCCAAGGACTTGTGAATTTTGTGGATGATCTCAGGCGCCAAATCTCAGGATGATTGTAGGGCAGGGTTGTAAGGATGGACCTTCTGAAGTGGGCTGTGTGGAGAGCTGAGGGCAGCACACTCTCCACTCCTGCCCTTGCTTTTGGCAGCTTGGATCCCTCATAGTGAAACGAAGCCCTCCCTGGTTTGTCTCCTTCTGCCGAGGCCAAGTCAGGCAAGCACCATGCGGGCCCGGGAGCCTCCCGGGGTGCTGAAGGGACAGCTCCGGGGGGCGAGCCGCGCTCCAGCCGCTCCGAGGGGGATCCGCGGGGACACGCTCGGCTCCCCGCCTTCCTGGGGGCTCGGCGGACACCCAGGGGCCGTGGGCCGCACACCCAGGCCCGCGGAGCCGGGACCCCATGCCCGCTGGCAGCTCAGGCAGTGCTCGGCGCGATCACTTCCGTGTCAGGGCCGGCGCCCCCGGCCTGCAGCCCCCTCTTGTAGCCCCCGGCCTGCAGCCCTCTCCTGCAGCCCCCGCCTGCAGCCCTCTCCTGCAGCCCCCGCCTGCAGCCCCCTGCCCCCGCGGCAGGCGAAGGGGTCGGGCGCCCTCCAGGCCGCCGCAGCGGGGGAGCAGCAGCCGGGGGCGACGGGGCGGAGCAAAGCCGCCACCACCCCCGCGGGCACCAGCTGCTGCGGCAGGGGCAGCGCCAGCCCCCCTGCCCTGAGGCTGGTTCTGCTTCCCCCCACACGCCGGCCACCCCTCGCTCTTCTCCCCGCCGCTCCCCCTGCGGCCGCAGACCGACTCCGAGCGACGCTGGCCCGTTCCCCGCCAGTACCGGGGGCTGCCGCGGCCGCGCCCCCCGCCCCGCCCGGGCACCGCCGCAGCCTCTCCCGCGGAGAGGGGCGGGGGCAATGTGAGCGAGCAAAGTGGGAGAAACTCCCTCCGGCTCGCCCGGGGGGGCAGGGGAGGTTCGGAGCTTTTCTCTTTTTTTTCTCTTTTTCTTTTCGCCTCCCTTTTATTCCAGCCCCGAAGCCACGCAGCAGCGGGTGACCGGCGCCCGCCCGCCCGCAGGGCAGGACCCCGTTGTCACCGGCCGCGTGTGCATGCGGCGGGCTCCCTCCCCGCCTCCGCCCCCTGCCTCCCGCCCCCCGGATCATTCTATACCGGGGGAGCTGTGCACTGCGGTCCCTGCTCGGGGAATCGCTGCTGCTCTTCCCATTCGTCAGGGGCTTTCCAATCACCTGCCTCTGCCACCCTCTCCGCTCCGCTCTTTGTACTTTATTTTCACGTGCTCTTTACTAACACGGCTATTTTTAAATCCCGCTCGGATTTATTTCTCTCTCTTTCTTTCTTTCTCCCTTATTTTCCTTATTTTCTTATTTTCTTTTCTTTTTTTTTTTTCCATCTAAACCACATAGAGTCATAGAATCATTTTTTTTCGGGGGGGTGGGTGGGGGAGGGAGGTAAACGTTTGCAGGTCCCTAACGGAAAGATCCCACCAGCCAACCCAGCTCCGCCACTGCTGCATCCATCCATTCATTTTTATGGTCACTAACAGCCTATCCCGGTAGTGGAAGGTGCAGAGAAGTGGGAGGCAGGGAGAGAGATAGAGAGAGAGATCCGGACAGCGAGAATGGCCGAGAGAAAGAGGAACTGGAATAAAGAAGATGACCTGCCTGTGTATCTAGCTAGGCCGGGCACAACAGCCCAGACACCGCGACAGAAATACGGGGGAATGTTCGCCTCCGTGGAGGGGGCCTATGAGAACAAAACCATCGACTTCGATGCCTACAGCGTGGGGAAGAAGGGGTCCCGGACCCCGCGGAGCGGCAGCCGGCACGACATGCTGGACGGAGGGGACAACTACAGCGAGACCGCCAGCGACATCAGCGAGATCTCCGGCTCCGTCATCAGCTCCCCGGGAGACCGGGAGGACAAGACCCCGGGCGTGGAGATCAAATACCCCACGGGGAAGGAGCTGCTGCAGGGCCAGGACAATGGACAGGTGAGCGGGGCCCGGGCTGGGAGGTGGGAGCCGCCGCCCCCGCTCGCTGGGCGAGCCGAGCCGAGATTGCTGTACCGAGCGGAGCCGTGCCGAGCCGTGCCGCAGAGCCCCGCTCGCCGGTACAGGAGGCTGGGGGCCGCCTTCGCGGGGAGTTTCAGCACGGCAGGTGGGGGAGGCACGGCCCCCTGCTCCCGGGCACGCTGATGCTCTGGGAAGAGCCCGGCTGGCCCCCGAACTACCTCGCTTGGCAGAGCTTAGCGGGTGCGGGAGGGGGCGACCCTAGAAATCCTTTTCCTTTGTAAGTGATGGCGATGACTTTTCTCCGTTTCCTTTCCTGCCCGTGCCGGGGGGCTGGAGGGCAGCTCGGGTCCCTCAGCGCCTCCCCGCCGCCCCCCGGAACAAAGCCGGGCCCGCTGCACTCCCGAACTCGCCGGGGAAACTCCGCGGAGCCTGTCCCAGGCACAGCTCCAGGATCTGCCCCGAACCCCCGCCCTGTCTCTGCCCCTGCTCCCCCCGGCTCCCTCTGCGCCTGCATTGTCTCCCCGGCAGGGAGCGCGGAAGGCGGGAGGATCCGAAACCTCTGACCCGGGCTCCCCTACCCCGGCTCTGCAGCCTGGACTGATGTTGGTGGCTCAAGGAAAAAGTGAGCCGGTGGGCTGGCCGGCCCCTGACGGCTGTGCATCTCTATCTTAGCCCTGTCGGTGGCAGGCAGGCGGGAGGCAGACCCGGGGGGATGGCTCTCATGGGATCCCGGGCTGTCATTGATTTCCCCTTAGAAAGAAATGCGGCCTTGCAGTGATGCTTCTGCATGGATACACCCTGTTCCTGAGTACCCAGCCTGGAGCCTCTGTGGCTTGTCTACACTCTGCTCTTTCCACAGGCTGAACTGAGAGTTTCCACTCTCTTCTCTTCAATTTGAGCATGAATGTGGTGCTGGTTTGCTCTGGCCTGGGGATTGTGTGCAGGTGCCACATGGCCTCCCGAGCAGTCCAGTTGGTGTCTGCTGTGGTGGGACGCTGCAGCGACCAAGCAGGGCTTGGTGGGACACTGTGCCTGGGATGCTGCTGCTTTCTCTGCAACAACCCCAGAGTTGCCTTCAGAGGCTGCCAGCTGCAGTGCAATATTTTCTTTTCTAGCTCACCTGAACTTCTGAGTTTTTTTGATCAGGGCTCTGGGACAGTGGGAGGGCACAGCACACCCCATCTTCTAGCACATCCATGGTGCTGCATCCCCATTTTCCCTGCTTCCTAAGTCGGCCTGGGACTCAGGGTAGTGAGCACACACTGCACACTACTTCTCTGGATCCCATTGTGCTTGCAAAGTTGACCAAAGCTTAGGTGAGGATGACATTAGTGGTAAAGCAGGCAAGATTTGGCCATTGGCTTAGGAAAGTGCACTGTAAGCAGCAGATACATGTGACCCCTGTACAGTGACATCCAGAGTTTTTACAAGTTTCAAACAATGATTTCTGGGAAGATGTGTCAGGGATGTGGTCTGGGCACTCAATGGTTTTTATCTATATGTGTATCACAGGGGTGGGTGTGCTAGGAGCCCCAGAGTGCATGTCCTTGGCGGGATTAACTTGGGCACAGCTTTGCAGTGCCTTTTATCCTCAAGCACCATGGGTGGAGGGAGGCATTCTGTGAAACAGAGAAAAGACAGAAGCCACTTTACCTCTCCAGCAACTGCTGATATAGCATCTGCCTGGCCTGGCCTGGTTGTGTTATCCCCCATGAGCTCCATGAGCACAGGACAGAGCAGGTGTATGACAATGGAGTGGTGACAAGGAGGGCAGAACATGACAGTGCTGTTAGGGTCAGAGACGTTGGTGAGGACAGAGCAGGCAGTGCCACCTGGGTCAGTGCCATCAGGGACAGAGCAGGCAGGGCCATCAGGGGCAGTGCAAGGCAATGCCATCAGGATCAGTGGTATGGAGGCAGCGCAGGGCAGTGCCATCAGGGTCAGTGCTATGGGGACAGTGCCGTGCGGACTGCCATCAGGCTTCATGCCGTGGGGACGGGGCAGGCAGTGCCATTGCCATGTGCAGCACAGCAGGACCCACCGCCGGGGGTTATATCCCCCGTCCCCACCCTGCGGCAGCCCACGCGTGGGATCCTGCCGGTGACCTCAGCGTGCGAGCGGGGCGGCGGCGGAGCTGGCGGGGCGGCGTTTCCCAGAGCCGGTGCGGGAGGGAGGGAGGCTCCGGCTGGATTGATGGGCTGTGAAGGGGGGCCAGGCGGAGGGGTGGGGGACAGGAGGGAAGGAAACGCTTCCTGGGTTGCGCTGAGCGAATCCTGCTCCGACCTGCAGCCGGGAGGGCGCTGCTGCCGCCGGCAGAGGCAGCGCTCGCCGACCCCCCCGGGAGCCGCGTCCCTGTTTGATTGCAGCCGGAAAAAAAAGGTGCCGGGTTTGCCGGGCTCCCCTTCCTCTGGGCGACGGAACTTCGCCCCCATTCTACCGCTGTGCCGGGTCGCCCCCGCCCCGCCCCATCACCCGCCCGGGCTTCGCATTATTATTCGTCTCAGCACCGCCGGTGTTGTTCCGCCGGGCTCGGCTCGCTCCTCGGGTTCGTTGCGTGCTCCCGGCGCTAGGGAGAGCCGACATGTCTTACCAGGGCAAGAAGAGCATCCCGCACATAACGGTAAGCGGCCCCGGGCGCTCCTTTGTTCGCGGGGCGGGGAAGGGCGTGCGGCGGCCGCGCAGTGCCCGGGGCCGCGGGCAGCCCCAGACTGCGGGGCCGGGGCTCCCCGGAGCGGCGGGGTGCGGGCGCCGCCGCCCGTCCTCCTGCCGCTGGAGCTCTGGGCGAGGACTGAGTTAATTTAATTTTATTTTAGAATTTCATTATTATATTTTTATTTTATTTCTTTATTGTATTCTGTCTCCACTTGCTCGCCCGCCGCCCAGGCGGAGCTCAGCGCTGTGTGCTCGCTCCATCCCGGGGCGGGGAGGGAGGGAGGGCCGGCGGGGGGCTCGTCCCGGCGCTGTCGGGGCCGGGGCCGGGGGTACCGCCCTCCCGAGGAGCCGGGCCCGGGGAGGCTCGGCCGCCGGGCGAGGCAGAACAAAAGAGGGAGGGGACCACCGCAGCACAACGTGCCCCTGCCACCGCCCCCCGCAGCGGGCAGGGGCAGCGCAGCCTCGGCGGGGCAGGGGCGGTGGGCCGGGGAGAGGCACAGGGTGCGGAGAAATGGGAGGTGGGCGAGCGTGGGCGTGGGGGGAAGCGTGGAAAATCAAAGAGCGCCATGATGCCGGCACCAACACCTCTGTGCGCTATTAATACATCAGGCGTGGTGGGAATCAGAAGTCAAAGAGTTAATCATAACCATCCTCTTCCTAACGGTGCCTGTCTCCCGCTAGATGCTTTTGTACCCGAGCAGAGAGAGCTACAATAGGGTATGCTTTCCATGCCAGAAAGAAAGGACTTGGTTTCTTTCATACAGTTTATGCTTTCCCTTAATACACACGATCTGGGTATATAGAGGCTGAGATAAAGAACAGGCAGAGCTGGCGCATAGGGGTGTGGTGGGGGAAAATCGCACCCGGAGCTTGCCCACACGGCAGAGGTTTTCCCCAGCACCGGTGTTGGACTCCAGGTTGTTTCTTTCCTCTTGGGGGACTGGATCACTGGATGATGGGGTCACTGTGGCACCTGGGGCAGAGATGAGCGGGGAAGCGGGGTGAGCTCCCAGATTGCTTGGGTTCCTGGAGCTTTCCCTGGAAAGCCGGCACGGTGTGTCGCGGGGCAAGTTTCGGTGTCTGGAGGAGCGGGCTGCCGGGTGGGTGTGGCACCTTCCTGAGCGAACCCGGTGCTCATCGGCGTTAGTGGAGCCAGCGCTACAACGCTTGTAAGCTCCTCGCAGCTTTCTCCCTGTATAATAAAAGCATCCTTCAGTCAAAATATTTGTTCGGGAGGAAGACAACATCCTTCTAAAAAGCTGAGTTTCATGATAGCGAAGTGCCGCATTTATGCCGGTTTCCACTATCAATAGGCAGCAGTGCCTGGCGGCCAGGGCTGAACCTGGGTGCTGCAGTGGCTTTTTGGGTGATGGCTCCTCTTGCCTCGTTCCTCAGTGCGTTGTGTGACTTGCAGTTACTCAGGGCGTGTCTGGGTCGGGGGAGACCCCGGTTACCCTCCGGTGTCAGGTGCTTTGTGCATCGCTTAATCTTCATTTGAACCTGGAGTGTAACATGGTCACACCCATAGCTAGTTCTTTGCTCTCCAGTTTGGAGTAGAATGAGAAACTGGAAGAATTAGGAGTCTTTGCCTCAGAATCAACAGTTCCTTTTAATTTCATCGCTTCTCACGAAATTTTTTTCTCTGTGCTGTGGAGAGGATTGCTGTGAAAAAGAAAGCCCAAACCTCAGCCTTTTCTCTTCGAAATGGGATGTGCTGAAGCTTCTATAAATTAATATGCATTAGCTTTACTGTTGAGTTTTGTGACCAAATCAAAGGCATAAATTAACATTAGTGAAGTTGGCAGGCATCAGGGCTGGACTATTTTTGGGGTTTTTTTTACGCTTCTGGCCCTTCTCCTCCAGCAGAAGAAAATCAGGCACTTTGTGTCAGACTTTGTACACACTGCCTGTCCCACAAGAACCCTCAGCGTCTGTCTGTGTGTATATTCTGAAGCCCCATTCCAGTGTGGTAAATTAGATGTTTCATCCGGCCACTAAGGAAATACATTGTAGCTTCTGGGCTCTAAAGAAATATGATAGCTCTGTAGAAGTATGCAACAACAGTGATGATGAAATAATATAAAAATGTCATTTGTTACTGTTCTTAACATTTCCCCCACTCACACTCCAGGGTTTTAGAGCTACACCGGCTCCTGGGTTCATTGGAGAAGTGAGAAACTAATTTCTGTCCTGGGTGCTGATACTTTGCTGTGGATTTTCCAGTACCAAGTCTGTGTTACTTGCATGGGGCCAGGAACTGTCCTGAGCAACAACAGCAACACCCAGCAACAGCATCCAGCCACTGACATTGCAATCAGCAGTCAGTA